TGTGTGTGTGTGTGTGTGTGTGTGTGTGTGTGTGTGTGTGTGTGTGTGTGTGTGTGTGGAGAGACGGAGGGGGAGAGAGAGAGCAGCCAGCACCTCTCTCCACCCCAGGCTGAAGGTCAACAGACGATCATGCTAAGCTTGCTAACTGTTCCACCCTCTGACTGCTGCAGGGGCGTGTCTTAGAGAGAGGCTTTTATACCAGAACACAGCTGCCGTGACGAAACTGTGCAGAACCACGTCACAGCGGAGAGCCATTAACCAATATGCAAATTAGCCTGCAGTACCACTGCTCCACCCATATGCGCAGCAAAAAGACGTTTTTAGACCAAATATTACAGATTTGAACAAATACGCACAAAAACATCACAATTAGCACAGAAACAGTACTATATAACATTTTAGACACATTCTAGACAGTTTATCAGCTAAAAAAGTTAATTTTGGGGTAAGTTGCTCTTTAAAGAGACAGAGGCCAATTTCAAGGCATATAGAAAAAGATATGATAAGTCAAGTTTGTTTACTATTTAAACGTAAAAACAGCATTTTAACAACAACTGAAGGTGACATACTTACTTTATTATGGTATGATATTTAAATGTATGCCTGAGAAACACAATATTGCCCCTTTAATATATTTTGTTCCTYTTAAAATTGTTTATCTATTTACCTAAAGTTTTACAATAAGTACAGTAATGAGTCAATTGCTTGAAATAATGTAAGAAACATACCCCTTCTATAAGGAAAAGTGCCAGCCATCTCACCAAAATATCTGCAGCTGCAGTTGGTTGCTTATATACGATTTCCTGTCTTCGATATCCGAAAATCTTAGCCATCTTTTCTTTTACTATTTGTCAGTTTTCTTTTCTGCATATCTGTCAAAAGAAAAATCCTATCTTGTTCCAGGCTTTCCACAGACTCACCACTTGGCAAAGATGGAAAATGGTTGACCTCAGCTCGTCTCGGTCTCTTCACATTCTTTGCTGGAAAGGCACTCTCTGTAGTCTTGGACTTCAAAGAATTCACTGTGAGCTCAGCATATGAGCCATGTGCCTTGAGTTGGGTTCGAAATAGTTGGCCATTTTTACTTTGAGCTTCTGTTTYCACCCATAGCTCTGATTGAACAATCCTGGTACTGTAAGGCAGGGGTGCTTTGATATGAGTGCCTCAGCAACATCCCTGTAGTGACTGTCTTCAGGATATGGTGTGTATAAATACACACTTTCAGCTAATTTCTCCGATATGTTCGACAGCATTTTTGAACTAGGTGTCAGTTTAGTTTGGCTTTGCATGTACTCCAAATTTGCCCATTGCAGTTGGCATTCTGTGTCATAAAAGAAGTTTGGGGGTTGGAACACTTTTGGCCACTGCTATGTTCTTACCCCGGATTTACGCTACATGCGTCTCCGCTGCGCTGCGGTGTGCAGCTATTCGTTTGTGCCCCAATTTACACAGCGTCCGCTGATCACTGGTTCATTGTATGGCTTGCCCATCTGTTTTGGTTTCCTTGTTGTTTCTTAGTGTTATGTTTTATTTGCTGCCCTGTCAGCCTTTGTTTTGTTAAATAAATAKTTATGTTTAAATTCCTCTCCTCTGTCCAGACTTGGATTCATTCCTCCTGCATACCTGACAGAATGAACCAGTTTGAAGAAAAATCCACCGGGAGGACAAGTGTTTTTGGACCTTGGTAAAGATAAAAGAAAGATGGTTTCCAGTGGCACTAGGAGACGTAGACAGAAAGACCAGAAACCAGAGATTGAGATCCTTCCATCACCACTCCTGGTAGAGGACGAAGAGAGAAGGGCGCAAGAGCCTTCTTTCAACCTTAACCAAGCTGGTTTTTCACTTCACACCCTCTCCTTGCTGCACTTCTGTCATCCACGGTCCCACTCGTTTCATCCCCACACCGCCTCCAGAATCATCAGACCTCACCATAGAACAGCTTGCCAACACCCATCTTTCCCCATCTGAAATGTCCCAGATAAATTCTCAGTTGTCCAAGCTGCTCTTCTCTGCCGCCAATAACCCGGACCCAAATTACAACCGCATCACCTGCTCTTTAATAGAAAACCTCCTCACCTCACACCCTGGAGTTTATCATATCCCCGAGYATGTCCACCTTCGTGGCGAAATAAGAGAAATGAAAGAAGACATCATCCTCACCATCTCCAACCCACCTCCAGCACCTTCCTATGGCAAAGCTCCTGTGTCAGGCTTCTCAGAGCCACCTGGATCCAGCTCCAGCAAGTCTTCTGGTTCCAGCTCCAGCGAGTCATCTGGGTCCAGCTCTCCAGACCCGAAAGGGTCCTGGACGCCGCCTCCTCAAGTGCCACCTTTGAGGGGGTCTCGGACACCTTTCCTTCCAGAACCATCTCCGAGAAGGCTCCTGAGACCTCTAGCCGCATGCACTTCTGAGAGGGTCGACGCCTCCACCTCCTGTGTTTCCAGCGCCTCCACCGCCTCCTGCGCTCCGGCGAGGGTCCACACCTCCACAGCCTCTTGTGCTCTGGTGAGGGTCAATGCCTCTACCTCCTGTGAGGAGGTTCTTAGGGAGGAGGAAGTGGTGGTGACCACTCCTGCTGCAATTTCGGTGCTGCCTTCCATATTCGCTGCAGCCCTGGTGGAGGCCCTCCTATCCGCACCAGCTAAGGCCTCAACGCCTGCTGCAGCTCCACCTGAGGACTTCTTGTCTGCTGCTGCTGCCGAGCCTTCAGATTCAGTACCTGAGTCAATACCAAAGCTCACAGAGCCAGAACCTGCACCAGAGTCTTCAGAGCCAGAACCAGCACATGAGCCTACAAAGCCCCTGGGTCGGATTGTGAAGTCCCTGGGTCTGCCTGAGGCTCTCAAGGTCTCCATACTGGTCTCTGCCCCTGAGATCTCCAAGTCAGCTGGTTCTGAGCTCAGATCTGCTGCAGCACCACCTTAACTCTCCACATCTGCTGGTGCTGTTGTACCTCCAGAGTCAGTATCTGTGTCAGCACCAGAACTCTCTGAGCCCAAGCTTGCACCAGAGCCCGCAGAGTCCTTGCAAGAACCAGAGCCTTCAGGGTCCCTTTGTTGGATTGTAGAGTCCCCGAGCCTGCCTGAGTCTCCTGAGTCTACACCGGTCTCTGCTCCAGCTGAGTCCTCACCGTCTGCAGCTGAGTCCTCGCTGTCTGCAGCTGAGGTCTCCTCGCCGTCTGCAGCTGAGGTCTCCGTACCGCCTGCTGCCAGGATCTCCAAGTCAGTCGATCCTGAGCTCTCATCGCCAACTGCAGTTCTAGACTCTCCAGTGCCAGCCCCTGAAGAGTCTCCAGAGCCCCATACTCATCGTGGCCAGGCTCTAAGCCGTCCACCTGAGCTCTGCTACCAACGCGGCTGGATTCACGGCCGTCCACCTGAGCTCCACCTCCGCTGCGGCAGGATCCACGGTCACCCTCCAGAAGCCCTGCCCTGTTTTTGTTGGGTCCCTGGGCACCCACCTGAACTTCCTGTCCTTTAGATGTGCCCTTGGCCATCTTTGTGACTTGTAATTTTTGTTGTTTTTTCCCAGGACTTTCCTATCGGTTTTTTATTTTGTTTTCTGTGTCCTTTAGTTTTGTGTTTCCTTCAGTCTTTAGTCTCTGGCCCTCCATCCTGTGTTGTTTATTTATCCCGCTGCCTCCCTCCCGTGTCCATGTCGTATCGTCACCCGACGATACGTAGAGGGGAGGCACTGTGAGGATGTGTTGTCTATTGTCTTGTGTCATGTGTCCCTCATGTGTTCTATCAGTGTCATTACTACTCATTCTTCCTCAGTCTGTTTCAGTGTCACTTCTCTTTGTAATTATGCTCACTAGAAGTGTGTCAAAAAATTGATTCACATAAGAATCTAGATTCTCATTTACTAAGATTCRAAATCGATTCTAAAACTAAATAAAACCAATCCGCTGGTCTCTCCTGAAGTTGCAGTGAAGTCTCACGTCATTCCAAAATGACGTGAGACTTCACCACGCAGCAGGTTCTCGGACATACGCATGAGCGGAAAGTTTCAAAACAAATGGAGGAAAGAGAGATTCAACCGGTCCTGTCTTTGTTGAAGAGAAAAAAATATGGATACATTTTGGTTTTTACCGAATGTCAGGGAAGACTGAGGTTGACACAAACTTCATTGTGTGCAAGGTTTGCAAAATGAAGATCAAATACTTCGGGAACACAACAAATGCGCGGGCTCTCATAACCAGGCATCACCCAGAGTTAAAGGATTCAGAGCAGAGTCAGCCACCAGCAGCAGACCAACGCACACTGCACATTTTGTTTATTGACTTTAGTACACAATATTCAACTTGTAATGTTTGGAGTTTGTTAGTTAACTCTAGGTTTCAATGTTCACTCTGGAGTTGGTTGAGTAATGGTAATATGTTTACTTGTTACTATATACCGGCGATGGAAAATGTGATCTCAGGGGGATTAGTAGATCAGCATGAGTGTTTTGGGCTCTTTTTTTGTTTTGTTCTATTTTGTTTTGTTTTTGTTTTGTTTGTATTTCATAGACAGGTATGATAATTTTGATTAGAAATGCTTATTGTAATTAGTTATGGCTAATGCTGAGAACAGCACCCATCTTTGCTTCTTGAGTTGGAATGTAAAGGGAATACATAACCCAGTGAAACGCAGCAGGGTTTTCACACATCTAAAATCTTTAAAAGCTGATGTGATATATTTACAAGAAACTCACCTTCTATCAAGCCAACAGGCAAGGCTTAAGAAGTCATGGGTAGGAAAGATATTGTCCTCTAAAACTGACAGTAAGATATGGGGATCAGCTATGCTTATCAAAAAGGGGGTCCCTTTTATACCATTGTCAAACATTACAGATACTAGTGGGARATATGTAATTGTGACTGGTAGTTTATATGGTCAACGAGTGGCTTTGGCAAATATCTATGGACCAAACTGGGACGACCCTCAGTTTTTTTCCTCATTTATAAATACACTACCTGATCTTACAAACCATCAACTCATATTAGGGTGTGATTTTAATTGTGTGCTTAACCCACAGTTGGACAGATCAAACCCAAACCCCAACAGTAAAATTTCAAAGGTAGGAGCGGTCCTTCAGAATTTTATTAAATCATATTTCCTGTATGATCTTTGGAGGCATATAAACCCCTCTACTAAACAATTCTCTTTCTTTTCCCCGTCCACTACTCCCACTTGAGGGTAGATTTTTACCTTTTAAACCGCAGATTCCTCTCTAGAGTAATAGGATGCCAATATAATAGCATAGTCATTTCTGATCACAGCCCGGTACAGATAGATTTCAACTTCCCGGAGTGCCCTAAACCCAGACATACCTGGCAGCTCGACCCACTACTCCTTTCCAAAGACACCTTCAAGAAGATGATCTCAAAGAAGATAGATGATTTTACAGACCTAAATCAAACTCCAGACATGCAAATGACAGTGGTATGGGAGACATTAATGGCATATCTCTGTGGTCAAATAAACTCATACACAGCATGTCAGAGGAAGTTATATAGACAGCGACTCGTAGATTTGTCGGACAGAATAAAAGAAATTGATCGATTATGCAGAAGCTCCAACACCAGACCTCTACAAGGAGAAAATATTATTAAACAATGAATATGATAGACTCTCTGTTAAGCAAACCAAACACCTTTTTTCTCAAACCCAAACAAATTTTCTACGAACATGGGGAAAGGGCAGGGAAACTACTCGCACACCAAGTTAGACAATCTGCGACTGCTAATATCATTCCTGAAATCTGTAAAGAAACGGGGCGGGGGGGATGACCCAGAAGCTATTAATGAGTTTCCATCCATCCATCCATTTTCTGTACACGCTTCTTCCTTTTTAGGGTCGCGTGGGTCACTGATGCCCATATCCAGCAGTCACAGTGCGAGGGGCGGGGTACACCCTTGACAGGTCGCAATAATAATAATGAGTTTAAACAATTCTATTCTGATCTTTATACTTCTTACTCTAACGGCGACACAAACTTGATTACTGACTTTTTGGATAGCATAGCCATCCCAGGACTAACTCTGGAAGATAAGATGCAAATAAATCAAGAAATTTCAACAGTAGAGGTAGTACAAGCTATTGGGTCGATGCAAAGTAACAAGGCACCTGGACCAGATGGTTTTCCGATCGAAATATATAAAACATTTGTGGACAAGTTAGCTCCCCTACTTAAAGCAGTTTATAGAGAAATTTTCAAACAGGGGAAACTACCACCTACCATGACTCAAGCAATAATGTTGGTGCTAAATAAGAAAGATAAAACCCCCTACAATGCAGCTCATATCAACCAATTAGTCTTTTGAACTGTGATTATAAGATTTTAACTACAATTCTGGCTAATCGTATTGACACAGTTCTCTCAAAGATTATAGGTCCCGATCAGCCAGGTTTTATATTGGAAAGACAATCATTCTATAACATGCGACGCTTGCTGAATATACTATATACGCCATCATCCACGAGAGAATAAGAAGCAAATATTTCAGTAGACGCGGAAAAAGCATTTGAACGTGTCGAATGGCAATACGTTTTTGCGGTCCTGGAAAAATTCCAATTTGGTCCTTCATTTCAGAAATGGATCAGAATACTTTATCAATCTCTAGTAGCCACCGTTCGCACAAATAATGTAATTTCGGATTATTTCAAACTTAGCAGAGGGTGTAGGCAGGGCTGCAGCCTATCACCCTATTTTTTCGATCTGGCTATTGAGCCACTTGCAATAGCTCTCAGAGTTGATAAGGAAATTAAAGTATCTCTTGGTGTGGTGCAATACATTAATCGTCTCTTTACGCTGACGATCTGTTGTTAAACATATCCGATCCAATCAAGTCAATGCCTAAACTGCTCCATATATTAGATACTTTTGGAAAATTGTCAGGGTACAAATTGAATTACTCTAAAAGTCTTTTTCCAGTTAACAATACAGATGAGGATTATTCAATTTTTCCCTTTAAGCTGGAACTAAATGTTTTTAAGTATTTGGGAATAAATGTTTCACGGACAATGGTAGTATTGTACAATAAGAATTTTGCCCCATTAATAGAACAGACAACACAAGATTTCAAAAGATGGGCAACRCTAACTATTTCGTTGGCAGGGCGCATAAATTTGGTCAAAATGTCTGTCCTACCCAAGTTCTTGTATATTTTTCAAATGATTCCAATTTTTATAACTAAACAAGTCTTTAAAAACCTGGATAAACTAATAACAACATTCATTTGGAACAACACAAACCCTAGAATGAAGAGAAAATACCTGGAGGTACCCAAAGTAGGTGGGGGACTGGGCTTACCAAACTTTGTTCACTATTACTGTGCAGCAGTCATTGTGTGTGGGAAAGAACAAAGCTTGAGTATTGATCTTTTTACACGAATATTGTTCAATATCAATACCAGCGCTGGTATTGATATTATCGATATTTAGTATATATCCGCCCACCTCCAATAAGGGGGACCAGAGCCACTGACCCCGAGAGAGACCCCAAGCACCGAGCCCCCAAGGCCACCCGCGCAGCAAGAACCGCCCACCCACCCCCAGAGAGGAACACAGGAGAGAACCAGAAGATCCCCATCAGCAACCACATGCAGAACCCACAGGGCCAACAGCAACGACCCCACAGGCCCCTGCCAGCCCCCGCCACGCCGGAACAGATCCAGGCATGGACACAGAGGCCCGGATCCCCAAGGCGCACCCCTCCCCCAGGCCAAGGCCCGACAGGGCCGGAGGACCCAATCCCCACCAGGCAGCCACCAGGCCAAGCCGGCACATGCCCAAGCACCCAGCCCCAGACACCGAGAGCCACCAGCGCACCGGAGGGCAAAGGTACACCCCACCAGAGGGCAGCRCAGCCGAGGGGCAAAGCCCACCACTAGCAGTGGGCCCTCAGTTGAAACAGTTGAGAGGGCAGCCCATGTCCCAGCCTGACAAATAMTSAATCATACACAGACACACTCACACAGTCCCACCCTCATTCTCAGAACCACTCATTCAAAAACAAACAAGATGAACGCCACACTCCACTCACCCTCCCGATACACACTCTATACCCCCAGGTCCAGGACACGTACCCGCCCCCTACAGAGGGCAGGCCATATCTGAACCCAGAAGGTAAACCCATTCATTCTGGGGTGGAGAGGAGCAGACAGCCAAGGCTCGGCCCAGGCCGTACCAGGTCAGCTGACCAAGTCAGCAGAATTTTTTATAAATCAAATCGTTTTGAATTGATAATTGATTTTGAATCGAATTGTGGCC